GCGCAAGAATGGATAATTTACCCGACTTGTAAACAGATATTTCCTTCAGCCGATTGTGTCTCATGCAGGAGAATGTCATGTCTGCGTTGTTTTGTTTCTACTGAAGTTTTATCAAAGAAAGCTTAAGCGAAAATAGGGAGATCGCAATTTACACTCTTACGAACTATAAATTAGGGCTGACCTGGAAGACGCGTTGAATTGTGCCGCCATCCTTCAAAATATAACCTGGCTGCGTTTAGGGAGACAATTTCCTCTTCCATCCAGATGTACTTGGTATATGTGTTTGCGCGAATCTTCAGACAAAGAATTGGGTATACACTGATTCGAATGGCTTGGCGATACTAAGTGCTTAAGTCTACTTACCGATTACAACATGTTTTGGAAGTATTGAGAAGCGCGCCAAACGAAGTTGTCACAGCGTTCTCGAGCGAACACGGCGCGACCTGGATTGATAAAAATTACCATTACATGCAGGTATCATGCCAGTGATATCTCCTTTCGTCGCATAGTGAATAGTTTGTGAGCACATCCTCGACTCTCGAAAGATTTGTCTTGCGCCGCTATAGAAGTTGCTTCTCCCGCGAACCATAGGTAGATTTCCCGCTTAACATAATGTTTGATAATTTATGCAAAAGTTGACCTCGTGGAAGTCAGCAGTGCATTAATCGACTCAAAAATAAACAGACTTCCCACAGGGTTTTGAACACGGTTTTAATTAAAGTACTTTACGAGCGCTGCGGTAGTTGACCGCAAAAGTGTTACGGTGATGGATACTCCACGGGATGATTACGTCACTTCATAGCAACCAGACGGTACGAATTTTTTAACTTCCGGAGCGCTGAGGCTCGTAGTGCCTCCCCTCACCCCGCCCAGGTCAATGTTGTTTAGGCGGGAGTAAAAATGTTCCGGCCACACTTCAACTTTGTTTTTTGGGGGAGAGGGGGAAGTATCTTGAGTGAACCGGGCTTTAGAGGGAAGTATTCTAAAATTAGACATACAACGTGCATTTTTCTTAACATTTTTGTCCAAGATCGTAGTCTGGTGTCTCAAGTGCGACTACCTGTATTTCGTCGCAACAAAAAATGGACTGAATAATTCTTTCGATTTAAAAAGTACTTATGAATATTAAAATGCTTTGGCACTAATAAATAAACCAGTTAGATCTATGCATGATTATCATTGGAAAGTCTGGAAAAAGTTGAAGCCAGGAACCGTGAAGGTAGGCTTTGGCCATTATGCTAGCATTATTTTGAGCATAATAACATGCCAAAAGCATCGAGCATAATGCCAGCATTTTAGCAGTTTGAATCATTAAAAGGAAAAATTTGTCTAAAGTGATGAAATTCACCGAGAAACAGGCAAACAGCCAAACATATATATTTCAGGTTTCTAGCCAAAACTAGAGAGAGCCTAGTCTAATCAACGCTGGTCAGCGGTTCGGCGAGTGCGGTAGTTAATTAGGTAAAAGCGGTACAATATATGTCCCCATACATGAAGTACCTACCGCGTGTGCAGCCGCCATTTTGTTTGCTTGATATTCTCCAGTGTGTCGGGAGCCCTTGTGGATGGCTCATACAAAAGTTACACATTATGTATTTTAGTTTCTGAAAATTTTTGTGTCTATTAGTGTGTATGTAGTGATGAAACTTTCGAGCATTTTAGTAAGGCCATAAGAGCATAATTAATAGTAAAAAGTCTGAGCATTAAGCATTAGCATAAATGAAAGAAAAATGTGCCAAAGCCTACGTGACGGATGCGATTTTTTTAGTTTGCCTAGATGACCAATATCTCGCTGAAATGACTATTTTCAGTTGGTATTAAATAAATACAGCGACTTGGAATAAATACTGCACATTAAAGCATGAGGGAAGTTTAATTAACGGTCCTATATTAAAAAAAAAAATTAAAGAAATATGTGTCTCTATAGCTAATAGCTATATTTTTAGTATTCTTGATCAAGTTTTTCAGTCATCAGGAATAGAATCTCAAACAAAAGCAGCAACAAAAACAACTATTGCGTCGTCACTCTAACATAGCTATATAGCTTTTATCGTACCATAAACACAAGCCATATCGTAGCTTAGCCTGTTCCAGGCTCCGAGGTGGTGGTGGAAAGTCGTTCAGTAATAAGAAATGCGAAAAACGCGCGGGGGCTGGGGAGAGACAGGGCCATTTTTCCCGCCGCCACCGCCCCCTTTCCCAAGTCTTGCGCGTCTTATTTTCGCTTTGCTCGTTTTAATACGCTCCCACTATACTATCTGAGAGCCTGGCACAGGGTAATCGTAGCTTGGTCAATGCTTCCGTATTTCTCTATGCAATGAATTGCTCTGAGGAGATGCTAATGACATATAGATGCTAAATGACCTATAGTAGCGGGTATTTTTGAAACCAGCCATATTATTTATTGCGCTGTTTTGTTAGACATCTGGTCTTCGCTTTTCAGTTAAGATGACAAAGATATGCGCTTAGTATATCTGGGCCGGGAAAGATAATCGAAACCATTGTGAAAGTTTTGCAAGATCAGCTCGGCTCTTAACACTGTAACAGTCTGGCGCTTGGCGCCGTAATATATGAAACCGTCGCCTGGTTAGCTCAGTTGGGAGAGCGCCGGTTTGCTGATCGGGAGGTCAAGGTCTTTAAATACCGTAAACTGACTCCGAAAATAAGCCCGGGGGCTTCTATTTTTCAAAGGCCCTTTTTGAGAGGCTTATTTTTGGAGGGGCTTATCTAAGGAGGGAAATTTGCGTTTCAAAACCGATTGGGCTAGCTTATAGCCAACCCCTCCCAGGCCTCCTACCTCCATTACTCGCTTCATTCTTGTTATTTGGAGGGGCTTATTTTCGGAATTTTACGGTAACTGAGAAGAAATTGCTGCTTTTGTAATGACATCTGCAAATGGCTAGACTTTCTAGTCTTCTCAGATAAGGACGCCTCACAGCACTTAAAGTTAGGCTGCATTCTTTATGTATACTGCAGAAAGGAGTGGGGTCAGAGTATATTTTTTAGAGGGGTAAAAATTTGTCACTCACCCGCGCATTGCACACAATTTTTTTTACACCCCTCCCCCACCCCCCTCACACACACACACTTCTGCACCACCGGGGTCTACGTATCCTACCAGAAGCCCATAACCCGGAGCGTCTAACTTCCATACTACTATATGCAACGGCGTTTTCACAAGTAGGTTTATTTCCAGATAAGCCTTTCCCGCGAATTGATTTCGAAAAGCCAATCACAAGCAATTGCGTCATCAATAATAAACTTTTAATACGTAGCCAGGACAACTCCTTCACAATGAATGGCGGACGCACGTGAGGAATCTTCAGAGGATTCTTCTGACAGTACATATATAAGCCCCCCAAAGCGATAACGTAAAAAACCCTCCATTAAATCGCCCCTCCGGGGGCTTGTACTTGGAAAATTGCCCTTAAATACAAAATAAACAAAGCAAAAACGGTAAATTTACTTCCAACTATAAGTGTTGGTAGTGGTTTATCAATAAAGACACAAATATTTAATCTTTCAATGGCATCTAAAAACATTGGCCTCCCCTCTTCCTGCCTTCAGAAATTTTTACCATCCCCCCTTTTCCCTTCAAACAATTTTAAGAACCCCCCCCCAAAAAAAAATCCTCTCATCCTCCCCCCTCTCCCATCTGTGGTATACATAATGAATGCAGTCTTAGCTGGTTCATGAAGGACGTAAAAAGGAACCCACACCACTCACTCTGAAATTGTCGCTTGAAGTACTGTCAGAAGAATCCGCTGAAAAATGCACCGTAAAACGCAGCCAAGTCTCTGACACGGGTGCCTATCAGGAGAGCCAATTTGCAAGCGAACTTTATTGCGTAACGTTAACGGCTCTTTCCTTAAATTACTCTGAGTTGTTTTGCATTTTGGATCAGTGAGGCTTAATCTATGGACAAATGCAGTACGAAGCCCACAGTCGCTTGGTACGCTGAATGGCTGAAGGGAGGTTTTTCATATATACTACCGATCGCGACACCACAAAGAACCTAATTTCAAGGTCAAAAGTCTACAATCTATTCTCGTTTATTTAATTCAAACTTTGGCTAAATAGATATAGTCTCTAAACCGTTCAACTGTAAAGATACGATTTAATTAGGTCTGCGGCCCTAGTTAATAAAACCATTTCTCAATCCCCGTAAAGTTGAATAGTGTACCAATCTTGCTAGCTAATTTGGCAGCCGTTATCCCCGACCTATGTTGTTCTAGTTACAAAATAAGCTGTCTAAAGTGAATCGTTGGTACTGCAGAGTACAAATATGTTCAGTAGAGCTCTAAACAATGCGATCGTGACTTAAGCGCCAATATGACAAATGTGTAAAACCGCAAACAATATATGGAATGACTTCCTGGTTTTCTCATTGAAATGCCAAATTTAGGCGTCGGTGTAACTGCCGGAGTTTTGAAGCCGAAGCAATACCGTTAGCCAGTAGAGCATTGTCTCATAAATCATGCCAATGATGAATAATTTTTTCAGGTATGCCAGAATTTCATCTTGGCTCTCTTGTACCCAGTCTCCCACCCGTTTCGTCACTTAAGTGCTGAGTCATGGAAAGAACAGGTGGTGAAACTCACACGTGCTACGAGGAAGTTACAGATTGTCTTTCCGTCACACCTGCATCCTTTGCATTCTTATATATATTTTGTTTTGAATTGAAATATATGAAATGAATCATATTTTGAACTGCGCATAGATATGAAAGTGAACATGATCTTAATTTCAAGCGGAATGAACAAACTAAGCGGTTGAAAAAAAACCTGAGAAAAATTCAGGCTTGAGCACTCAAGCTTGAACTTTCACTTTCTTGTATTTTAATTTGATACTTAAAAATAACAAAAATTGGGGCAGGTTTGCACTTAGCTATTTCTTAGAGAAGTGAAATCCTGGTAACTTTTTAAGACTAATTTGCTTTCTTATTAAACAGAATATACGATCAACAAAAAGTATAACTGAACAACTTTGGAAATTTTAATGCCCCCTAAGCAATTACACGTGCAGATTTTTTATTTCTCAATTGTAAAGCTATTTATACATGTGCAGTTTTAACTTACTCTCAGAAAAAGGTAATAACTACTTCTATAACATAATTAGTTGTGATCTTCAGAAAGTTTGGCTTATTAGTGTTTTCATTAACATCCAAACAGATACATAATGCTGGCAGTGAAGGTGGCAATTAAAAGAATCCCGCTGACCATAGGACCTGAGCCTCCATTGCAGTAGTCAGAAGAGCAACAATTCATTTCACACTTGACTCCAGTTTTGTTGCATAGTGGAACAGCTGATGCTGAGCAGGTGTTAGCGCATCCTTCAGCGTATCCCTCGCCCGTGATGCTACCAGAGGTGACATTGACTCTTACCTTGGCACAGTACTGGGAGTTAAAACAACTTACTTTGTATCGTCCGGCGTCACAATCTTGGAAAGATTGCGTACTGGTACACTGATAACATTTTCGGGAAATCACTGCAGTGGAAATTAATTAAAGAAGAACTAGATCAATAAAGGCTAACAATTCTTTGCTACAGATTGATCATTAGTTTCCGCAATGTCCCCTCCCTTCGAGCGCGATCATGAAGGAAGGCAGACGTGCGATTCTGAGCTCGCGAGTTATTGGACTTGTACTTATTTTGTGTCTTGTTCATACCTTGAGGAAAGATAAACAAGATTATTCTTTTACCAGCGAGTACTTTGGTCTATGTTTCCCGCATTCCTCGTCGGTTAAAGAGGTAAACTGGGATACGAGACACTGTACAAAATGGCGGACACACGTGCATGTCACTATCAGTATGAGAGTGAAACGAGCAAGCGCTACTACAGCCTACTACGCCAACTCAACCTCTACCTTTAGACCTGTTATACAACTGCTACATGATGTGGAACTTAACCCTGGACCTGCAAACTGCTCTAGTGGAGACAAGTCAGAAAAGTCAAATGGCAATGTTAAAATCGCACATCTTAATGTTCGCTCGCTCAAATGTCGTGAGCATTTCGTTCTTGTAAAGAATGCGGTACTGGAAAATAAGTTTGATATATTTACCGTATCCGAAACATGGCTCAACAGTTCAGTTACGGATTTGGAGATAGAAATCCCTGGCTATGTTATCTACCGAATCGACCGACAGGCGAGGGTTGGCGGTGGAGTATGTGCTTATGTCTCACGAAATTACAGGACGGAGTACTTGAGTGACATTTCTCTTATCACGGCCTCTGGCTTCCATCAACTGTGGCTAAAAATCCACGTCAGAAACATGAAGTCCTTCCTTGTCTGTACAACCTATAGACCACCGGACACTTCTTTATCTTGTTTCGATTCAGATCTTACAGAGAACTTTATTTATGCCTCGTCGTTTAATGTTCCAATTTATCTATTAGGTGATTTGAACTGCAGACTTGAGAATAGCGACGATCCTGGAGCTAAAGCCCTTGTTAACTTTTTTGCCGTTCCTATAACTTGTCAATATTGATCAACACACCAACACGAGTTACAGAGACTTCGAAATCAATTTTAGATGTTATCCTTGCATCGGATACAAGACAAGTCCAAACGGCTACAGTTATGGAAAGCTCGATCAGCGACCATGAGCTAATTTATGTCACCTTAAGATTGAAGAAGGCGCGCTCCAAACCCATTTATATTACTACCAGAAGTTTTAAACACTACAGTCCTATTGATTTCAGCAACGACGTATCATTGGCACCGTGGTCCATAGTCGATGTTTTCGACGATGTCGAGGATAAAATTTATGCATTTGATTCGCTGTTTACTGAGATACTCGACCGTCATGCTCCAGTTAAAACCTTTAAAGCACGCTGTAAGCCAAACCCATGCGTAACCGACAACATCCGCGGATTGATGAAGACCAGGGATGATTGGCGTAAAAAAAGCAAAGAAAACAAATGACCCGCTATCCTGGACTGCCTACAGATATTTCAGACAGGAAGTAAAGAGGGAAATTAGAATTGCTGAACGAGAATTTGTTGCTGAACAAATCCAAAGGAACCCAAATAACACCAATAATATCTGGAAAGCAATCCGCCAGTGTGTCCCCAATAAATCTACTTCTCAGCGAACATTTAGTAAGAGCGTCAAATCTGTTGCAGACGAATTTAACCAGTTCTTCGTATCTGTTGGTCAGAGCACTGTTGACAAAATTACGTCCCTGGCTAATGAATGCAACTTAACACTTAATCAGAATTATTTCGTGCCGAGACAATACGCTTCCTCTGACCAGTTCACACTTAGTACCGTTGATTATAAACAAGTAGAGCGTATAATAGCAGCGATGCCTTCAAACAAGGCCCCCGGGATAGATAAAATTCCGATCCGTGTCATCAAAGACTGTCTTAATCCAATTGTTCACCCAATAACGTCTATCGTTAATGCATCCTTTCAAAACTGTGTTTTTCCATCAAAATGGAAAACAGCCGAGGTTACACCCATCCTAAAGGAGGGCGACCATGAACAGGCAAATAACAATAGACCCATCTCACTTCTACCAGTTTTATCGAAGGTTTGCGAAAGGGTAGTACATAATCAACTCACCTCGTATCTGCAATCAAATGACACCCTATCAAAGACTCAAAGCGGTAACAAGAGATGGCACTCTTGTGAAACATCTGTCATTGAAACAACAGACACAATTCTTAACGCCATCGATAAAAAGAAGTTAACGGCAGTTGTACTATTAGATATGAGCAAAGCCTTTGATAGTGTCAATCATGACACGTTAATTTTAAAATTGCAAGATGTCGGAATTTCCAGTGACACTCTCCAATGGTTTCGTAGTTACCTAAGCAACAGGTCACAAGTAGTACGAATCTATTCAACGCTATCTGAGCCTTTGTCTGTGACCAGTGGCGTTCCTCAAGGAAGCATCTTGGGCCCACTTCTTTTTAGCATATATACGAACGATCTTCCATTGATCCCACAGAAATGCAGCACCCAGAGTTATGTAGATGATACGAAACTCATCACTTCCTTCGAGCTTAAAGCCAACCTGGATGCAATTGCTGATTTGGAAGACGACCTGTTTAAAATAGGGGAATGGTGTTCCAACAATCAATTGTTACTAAACCCTGGCAAAACCAAGTTGATGACATTTGGCAGCAGGCAGATGCGTGCAAAATTCCAATTTCGTTACCTTTCCTTTATGGGTAAGGACATTGTCCCTACAGACACCGCCAAAGACCTTGGTGTGACTTTGGATTCTAATTTAACTTACGATGAACATATAATTAAAACCGCTTCCTCGTGCATGTCCCGCCTTGGCCAGATAAACCGTGTCAAGCATGTCTTCGACAAACGTACACTTTTGATGATTATTAATTCCTTAGTTTTTAGCAGGTTATTTTATTGCTCCAATGTTTGGTCAAATACCTCAAAATGTAATGTCAACAAGTTACAGGCAGTGCAGAACTTCGCATGCCGCATTGTTAGCGGCGCGCGTAAATTTGACCATGTTACACCAATTCGCAAGGAGCTAAATTGGCTTTCAGTTCCCAGTCAGCTTTATTACCGGAGCGCTACAATGGCTTTTAAATGTATGACCGGTCAAGCCCCTGAATACCTTACATCAAAATTCATAAAGCGAGCAGAGGTTAGCCGACGTAGCACCAGAAATTCACAGCTTTTACAAATTCCCTTTTTTAGAACAGCTGCCGGTCAGAGAACATTTTTCTATAGAACTGTGAACTTATGGAACTCCTTAGACAATTCCTTTAAACTGTGTAACTCGATTGATGTTTTTAAAACTCGTTTACGTACTAAATTACTTAAAGAATTGTAATTTTATATATATTTTAAAACATTTTTTAATTGTAAATAGGATCATGTATTGTCTTTGAAAAGCCCCTTGGGAAAGTCAATAAAGTATGTATGTATGTATGTAATGTGTTTGCATGAAGTCATAGCTACCCACTGAAATCTACCCTGAGACAACGTGCAGTTGCAACATACCAATAATTAAAAGAGACAATAATTTTGCACTTGTCATGATATTAAAAACATGTAATGTTTTAGAGTAGCAAACAGGATACAAAGTTGTGATATCATAAAACTAACCATTGCGTATATTAGCAACTGTTTTTTTTAAAAGTTATATTCGGAAAAAAAAGCAAACAAACTTTAGGACCTGCTGAGTCGAGCATTCACCATGCAAATTCCTAGTGTGCGGTTGTCTTGAATCTTAACTTTTTAGAAACTATTTCACGTTAATAGGTAATGCAAGCAGTCTTCAAACAGAAAAGAGTACTGACGCACGCTGTTATAAAATAAAAGCAAAGAAACTGCTGCCTACTAAAACAGGAAAAGGAAGATAACAGTAATCAACTCAGATATGATGATTCGAAGAAGTCGAGATAAAAAGTGATGCATGCAGTAAATAGAACACACCCGCACCAGAAGAACTTAATTCCTTGCGCACACCCTACGGAACAACTCCGTATGCTAACGACATCTAATACGCCCGGTGTTTTGTACAAATAAGACAGAAAGCCATGGCAAGGACTTATTAAAAGGTGCTTTATGCGTCCGAGCCAGGATTAGTTGTTAAACATCAGTTTTCAACGATGACTCGTCATCATCAAAACGTAAATTTATCAAATTCTGGTTCTTTACGAGCTTCGCCATTGTCAACATGAAAGCGAAACTATTGGCAGATTGGCAGATAAATTAAACGTACTTAATGCAAGGCACTGAGAAACAAGTAACAAAACTACATCCCTACCCACTGGCAAGACGATCAGGAACATGAAAAGAGCTACATGCTGCAAATTCGTCATGTTGGATCTCTGGTTCCGCGTTCGTTAATTAACTCGATCGATGCAGATGTAGGAGTGTGGCTTGCTTGCTGTTTGAAGCAGTAACCAAATGGCAAACCTTGAATACTGAACACACCTTAAATGCTGACTGAACTAACCTTTGAATAAGTAACTGTCAATTTTATTAATCGAGACAATTCTTGTCAAAATTGATCTTGGATGTTACTGGTTATTTAATACAAGAGCCAACACCCACTGCCAACTAACTGAACTGAGTTGTAACGCTCTGTTTCACTCTTAACAAGAAAGTTATCGCGCCCCTTTGTCACTGATAAATAAGTTTTATTAGTTGTGAAAGTTAAGTAGGTGCTATTATCATGCCGCGTAAAAGCTAGTTTCGCTATTCCCATGCATACAATGGTGTTTGAATAAAACGAAACATTTTTCACTGATCTTTCTCTGATCACATCTGATAAGTCTGTCGCTCAAACGACATTACATCAGAAGCCATTTGTATCTATTTTACTAGTATGAAACGTTAGAAAACCTGACTGGTTCATCTGGCATTGGAAACCTTCCGCATTCTTTTGGCCAGTGACCATCTTGAGGAGGGCATAATGATTTTGTTTATCCCGCTCTCCGCTGCAATTATCCAACAAAGGAACCTCCTAGGTAGAACGAGTTTCCTCAGGCAGGTTTTTACTAAAATGGGGAACGAAGGAGAAAAGGGAATCCCGAGCCCTATCAGTAAGCTTGATCTAACTTGATTACCCTTTCTTTGATTTGTTCCCATTTTTAATTTTCTCTTTCCTGTGCTCGTTTTACTCATTCCCGGCCGTTTGCACGGTCTGACGTCACTCATTCACTATAATAATAAGAAAAGCCGCGAAAGGTTTGATTACCACAGACATAATTTACAAATTGTGCAGTGGATATTGACTCGTTCAGAACTTTCAAGTCTATAATTAATATAAAATTTGGGTCAGTTAATCATCCCGCGCTATAAACCAATCACATTAAGAAGCTTACTGATACAAAACGGCGACGGCAACTAAAACGTTACTTGTTGTAGCATGATTCATTTCGTATCCTTTTGAACTTTATTGCTATTATTCCAACTCGATTAATTTGTCAAATGTAGCCGAATTCTCTTGGAAATGAGTTATTCGGATGGTATCCAAGTTAAGGAAGAGAAAGAAGAACTCGCACGTCGTCCTCCATAGGAAGTTGAATCAGAAAGTTTTTCAACGCAATGAACCAAACTGAAGTGTGACGCACGCGTAAAATTACTGTTATCAGAAACCATGACGGGGTTAGGCCACAAAAAAAATTCTTTTCAATCTTGTACATTACTTGTCTGTGCCTGTCAGGATACAATCGATGAACCCATTTTTATCTTTCAGTATCTGGTTTCAGTTTGTAGATTTAGTGGTCGATCGGTGTCGCAAGTAAATCTTAGCCTGCGTGGCAGGCGCAAAAAAGAGAGGGGTGGGGGGGAGGGAGAAAAGCGCGAAAGAGGGGAAAAGGGACGCAGATTTCACTGAATATTCTTTCAATTTGACGCTGATTCCTTTTGCGGAAACTACACAGAGGAGCAAAATGTTGAGATTACGAATCGGTTGCGAAATGTTGAGATGGCGAGTGTCAGATCTATAGTTTAACGGGAAAATGCCGGCGCCGGCATAAAGAAAACAATTTAACTTACATTCCACCAAAAGAGTGTTGGAAATTATTCCTGTATAAAATCCTTCCCGGGTTGTGGACTTTAGGAAATTTAAGCATTGTCAAGATGAGCATTTGCTGGTAAGTCGTGATCAGTAAATCAGTTTTTTATAGGTGGAAAATACTACGAAATATATCGAGCCGAACTGAGTTTCAGTTTTTCCCACGTGTATTTCTGATAATTATCACCTGTTTTTCTTTCGTTTCTGTCCAAATTTGTCGATATTTCATTTATTTTGATGTAACGCATGCCGCCAACGAAGACTGCCCTCGAGTATGCGAAGCTTTCCTACTTCTTTTTTGCCTTTATTTTGATCACCAACTTGTGAAAGCGCTCTATTCGTCAACTGTAACTCTTGCTTGTAGTCCAGCAGGCACTAAGAACCGTTGATAGACTTGGTCAGTGCGTCACCTAATCACGTCATTCGTGAAATGACTCCAAAAGGTAACGTGATTCGTGAATGTACGGAAATTCAACAAGTGATTCGTGATCCATACACCCCCTTCCAGACCCTTTTATTTCAAGACGGCGGACAGTGCGAGTTAGGGCTGCCGTGCTGTCTTTGATGGTAAAATAAACATTTGCAATCATTTGTACCAAATCAACTTTCAGCAATACTCCAATTGAACCTTTGTAATAACCTCCGCAGTTCTTTGCGATGAGGGTGTCTCATAAGTTTTCAACCTATCTTTTTGACTCAGTCTCTTTAAACATGCCATCCCAAAAGGAATGCACACTTTTGACTCCTGCCAGTTTGCCACAAAAACTTTCTAGCCGACTCGTTTCCTTGGGATTGATTTAATTGACTTCATGCACCGATGCAAAAAACATATTATTTAAGCGTTCGAAGCTGTTTTGGAAAGATCTCCTGGGGGTAACGAATCTCTCATGGAAAAAGTGTTAAACTGAACAAAGAGGTTTCTGAGAGCTTCATGTCAGGATAGCCTGGGACGAACCAGGCTCCGCAGTAGGAGAAAAAGGCCGCCCAATTTTTTTTTTTTTTTTTTGTGGTCCCAGCTGGTTACTCCAGACTAGCTCGATCGAATCACATTTACTTACGAGTTCGGCTGTCAATGATCTATCTTTAACTGCAATATAATTTAAAAAGGTTTTGACCTCTGGTCTTCTCTTTTTTAGTCGCTGTAGTGATTTCTCAAGAAAGTTACCAGTGTCGCAGTACGCACAGCCTCTTTCAAAGATTGTGACGTCAACCGAAGCCGAGTAAGATGTTTGACGTCACAGCACAACCCACCGTAGGCACGTGTAGGAGCATTATTGTGCAGTGTAACCACCACATATGTTTGCTTAACATCTGGTATTAAGGATTCCCCCGTGTAAGGGACTGTGCAATAATTATCAGGAGGGGGGGGGCTGAAAAACTAGAGTTATCTAGCAAAAACTTAGACAGTACCCCCCCTCCAAAACAAAAAAAATTAGTTCTAACCCCCCTCTGTTATCTTAAAAATAACGTCGCATTCTCCCCTTCCCCTCCCACCACACTGGTAAACTCAAAACTGGACTGAGCTGCCATCACAGCTTCAATAATGACAAACGTTATTATGTAACATCTAGTATCGAGAAGGATTTTTGATCGTTTGAGTGAAGATTTAGACAAAGCATTTGCTAAGTACCGGGGTGCTTACCACATTGGCTCAAAATCTAAAACTTCTGAAGTCAGAAAGAGAAGGGAGCAGAGAAAAAATCAAAGAACAACAGGAGATTGAACGCTTCAAATATCAGACGAAAAAGAGCTTGCATTATATTTAGATCCTTGGGAGGAGAGCCTGTTGAACTTTGTTATGAGCCACATATATATGGAATTCAGCAAATCGATTCAGTCGATGAAGAAACATTACTTTTATTCACATCAAAAACCGACAAAGCTTATCTACGAGGATCTGTACGTTTGATTCCCCTTGTTTTATGGGGAAAGCTGAAAAACAAGTTCATGATTTTTGCTTTACATCGAATCAGCTCAATTAATTAGAAGACGGGTTAAATTGATCAGTTGTGAACTTGCTTTTCATTTTGATGGAATATTTCAATAATCGTTTAACAGCTGTTCGTATATTGATATTTGTTACAGTCTATCATGATGCCTGTATTGAGAATCGTTTATTGCGTTTAATTTTTTTTACATTTCGAATAAAACTTAAGGCCCCCCCTCCGTCAAATGAGTGATTTTACCTTGAGCCCCCCTATCTTGGCAGCAGTTTTATGTAATGCCCCCCTCAGATAATTATTGCACAGTCCCTAAGGTAATTCGAATCCCAGAATTCGGGAAATTTTTCGTCTTGTGGAATCCGGAATCCTGAGCTTTGGAATCCGGAATAAAGCTCTAGGAATCCGGATTCCTACTGGTGTTTGGAATCCAGAATCCAAAGACTGGAATCCAGAACCTGGAATTGTTGGAATCCATGGCGTGGAATCCAGAATCAGGTAAGACTGTCCTGTATTCCTTTACATGGGGCGAAAAATTAGTATTTTAACATTCCTCACTCCATATCTATTGTCGCATCGCGGCAAACTAAGTTCTGGGACGAATTCTCGACTACCTTTTCAAAGATATTTAGCAAGGCTTGATGACGTGGTCACCGCCACCAGTGGAGGTGGGAGGGGCGAAAAGCGCTTCCAGCAGGCAATCCCGTTTAACTGCGAGATTTCACACCGCGACGCCCAAATTGAAGTTAGAAGGCCGCAAAGGGTCATAATTGACCCCAATTGCTAAGAACACTTGGGATTAGAAGAATGCAGGCATGTTCGCGAGAATTGCTCATTATATATGCAGTGAGAATTGGGATACGATAAAGGATACTGCCACCTGCTCAACATCAGACATTCAAACCTCGTTTGACTGTTAGTCTTATTACCATTCTCTTTCTCATTATTATTGAAACTATTTTCATTGTCAGTATTATCATTATCATTAATGTTATTTACCTTGCTATATTTCTGCTCAATACCATTGATATTTGGTTTTATTAGTTCAATTTAGTCGGCAGTTTGTCATCCTGAATATGTAAATTTGTTCATGGTTTAATTGCTTGGTAAGTGCTAAAATACCGAGCATTGCAGACGTAAAAATCAGCAACTAGAAAAAATTCAACCAGGTTAAACTGAGAATGAATTCAAAACAAGAAAATGAAACAAAATGATGAGCTTTTGAAGAAGGACTCGGGAAAGGCTAGTTTTTCTCTTTGCTAACTAAGAAGTAATTACTAATAGTTTGTTTCTGTGATACTTGCTGCAGGTCACGTCCTGTTGGCACAAAATGATATTGACTCAGTGATTTCTAAGTGGCTGGCTTGTCAACTTAAGACTAATAGTTTACGCGATATGTGCAAATGGCATAAATAGATCCTACTTACAGACTTGTAAAATATTCTTCTCTGCGGTTAAAAGTCTTATAACAGTTCAAAA